TATAAACATAGGCCTGCAAACTCTTTGTTACCGATCTATACAGAGTGTTATAGTTCTATCGTATATTTTACAATGTGAACCTTTAATTTATGCAAACACAAGTTACAATTTTTTCTCGATAACGGTCACAGAAACAAAAAAATGTTCTGTGGCTAGCACAGATACCATCCGCACACCTGCTCATGTGTGTTCTGCCCAAGAGCTTTTCAACTCTTCAACTTTGGCGCCAATCGGTTCAGCCGTTTAGCAGGAATGAAAGTACAGACGGACCGCTAGACCGATATCATCCAGATTTTGTTTGATTCGGATTCCTGGTGTTTAAAAACGCGAATTTCCGTAAAAACTGCGAGTTCATTTTTACCCCCACCTTACTAACGTGCGCGTGGTAAAAAAACCAAATCAGAAAATGAAATTCTTGCTTCTCAATCGATCGGGGGTGCACCGAAAAACAGTTCATGGATAGAAAATGGAACATGGCCCCCGGAAGATTCTCACTACCATTGACATGACCAACGATGTAATCCCTTCAGCGTAAAAACTGCAGAAGAATATTGTGAACATCCTGTAGATCGGTAAAGGGCTTATTTTTATATGACTTTTTCATCATAAAATAAGACAAAGAACACCCTGTATACCTATGGGAAAAAATGCAGATTATTGAACATTGTACGTAACTGTACAACTATGGTTCTCAGTTTTGTTTTTGAAAATAAAAGAAACTATTGTTTTTTTGTATTCCTTATAGACTGTACCCTGAAAAACACTGCCCGTATGAAGTTAACAATAACCAATCAACAATAAATTTTGCATATTTCTTGTAAAGTTAGCAATAACAATGGGCAAATTTAATAATATGCATATCAATAAATAATCCTATTTAGCGGTTTCGAGATTGTGAAGATTAGATCAAATATTGTGATTGATATTAAACATATTATATCATTCCTCAAAAATACCCATAAAACCATATAGGCTTTATTCGAGAGGGAAACCAGCTCTGTTGTTTTGTACAAATATTTCCTCATAAAGAAATTATGTTTTTCTGAAACTACTTTAGAAATAAATACTTTCGTCTCTAAAACTGGTGAATAAAATGTGATTTACCTCTCTAGTGAAGAAAGTAAAAAAACAATTGCTAGGATAATCTTGATAATCACATTTTAAATTGATACTCGTATATAGTTTGCTATGTGCCAAACGTCATTTTTGCATACGATCATTTTTCAATTCTGATTGTAGTTTCAGAAAAAATGATGTGTAAAACTTGAGAAGAAAGTGTTTTTCCAACTCTCGATCAATTGACACATGAGCGTAGCTTTGAACTCGAGTTGAAGAACTCCACTTTCCTCTCTAGTTATACAAATAAGTGTTTCTTTTCAGTTTATATTTCCTTATAGTTCCTAAGTAACGAGTGATAAAAAATGAGTTGCTTTCGAGTCGCCTTTGGAAGTTCAAAGGTGACTCGATAGCAACTCATTGTTGATCGCATATTATTACCTCGTATTTCCTCCTACTACCCCAACATTTTTTACTGGAATTGAGGTTATATTTACCAGCAATGCCTTGATATGACCTGGATTCTGGATTTGCTCCATAATTCCTTATCCTCGTATCCCTTCATTTTCCCCGTATTATCTCATAATACCCAAATTTCTTCCCAGTTCACCTTATGTCCTCATACCGCCCCATTATCCCTTCATATCATCCAAACTTTTGACAATACTGCCTTAGTGGTTTCCCCCTCGGCTTTATTTTTTCGAAAAAATCTGCACGAAAGTGAAGAGCACTTGTTATATTTTTCGAATATGAGCATACAATGCCCGGAAAATATCCAATATATGTGTATCATAAACAGATTTTCATTTGTTGTTTTGTTAAAAACAAAAGCGCAGGAAAAATCATTTTGATTTTGCTCAAATGGCAAGGCATATACCGAGGCACATACCTACTCGATTTTCTTCTACATAGGCTTACAGCGCCAAAATGAGAAAAAGTACATTCATATTTACCTATTGTTGATAACAAAAAATATTTGTAAAATGAGCCCAAAATCGGTGTGAATCGGCAGTATACAAAAATCAAAATATTTTCGCTGCGCTTTTGTTTTTCATAAAAATAACAACTGTACGCCATGACTTTTGTTTTTAAACAATATTCCGATATAGTCAATTTACCTAGTCTATACTTTTCGGACTTTTGGAGCCATTGCATAATTACTTTTATCTACTTTAAACTACGTAAAACCATAAGATATATGTTTTGCTTACCATTCAATCAGGTATCAGTTAAGAATGCACTTTTTTGTTCACAGGAGATTGTCAATAACTTTCATTGCGGAAGGGCGAATTACTATTTCTTACTAATCTTTCAAATTTACATTCTTAAGCGTAATTATACTTTTTTGTGGCTACTTTTAACACATTTTTAAAGGAAGTGCTGAACCTGTGCCGATAACTAAGATAAAATGATAGACTTTGAGTGTGCAATCTCTTTCGCAATATTGCAGACGCTTTACCCAAATTTCGAAATTAAACAATATTGATTTAACATAAATAATTGATTTCGGTTCAATACGTCAACCTGATGGACGCTGTAAGTCATAACATAGACTTGTATGTAAACATTCTTTTTTTGAAAGCGATTCTTCTATCACCTAAAAATCATTGCCAAATGTTTGAGCCTACAGGACGCCTTGCCAATCTGCTCTCTGTCGTACATTTGATGTGTGACAGATCAGGATTTAAATTAATTATTCAATAGAAAATCGTTTTTGGACGTAGGTACCTATGCTATTTACTTATTTGAAATAAAACAGATCAGTTTATCTAAAATAAGCCTTTAATAACAACCGAAATAGATGTACCTGTGATAGCATTTTACACACATAATAATTAAAGAAAACGACGAAATGAAAATGCGTTGTACTGTGTAGACTATTTCTTAGTCTTAGCGTTTCTTTCTCGGATGTCCCCCAAGTTTGATAGAATCTTATAATTTATTGTGATTTATATTGCAAATTCCAAAATTGAACCAACAACGGTAGCTTTACTGTAACTTTTCGTTGTAAAGGGCCGTCGACAAATGCCGACGGTTATACTTAGAACTGAAGACGCTTTGGCACTCGCTCCCCTAACAGCGGGAAAAATATCAAAACACATGACTAGACATACCTAAGTAATAAACCGAGTAATCTTAAAAGGACTTGGTCCAGTCACAAGCTCACGAGCGATTGGGGTTGTTTAATTACCAATTCTCGGCGTAGCTAAATGCAGAAAAGTCATCGCCCCCCAATTTTTAACGTATGCTGTGGGTTATTTATAATTTCTATGATTAAAAGTATAGCGAGTCCGCAGTGCAGTCAATATAATCAATTCTGGCCATTTCCCAAATTGTACGCATCTTCACCATATAAAGTTGAAATGAATAAATCAAAATTGGGCATAGTCGTATTCTCGGAAGGGCTAATTCAAGATCGTAACTTTTCCGAAGGCGGTTGTATGGTAATAAAGCAAAGGTATATGGTCACCGTAAGGTGAGATATGGACGTTGTAGGTATTGCGTGTATTTGCATAACTGCCTTTAAATGACACATACATGATACTCGAGAAGTGAAGACAAGAAACTGCTTATATTAAAATTCTATCAGATAAACGTTCGGTTTAAGTTAATGTCAGGTTATCAAATTGATAACGAATAGAAATACATAAGTTAGGCTACCATAAAACTTTAACAGCTCTGAACTTTGTAATTAAAATGAAGGTAGAGCTGATGGTTTTTTTTGTTGATAAGTTCGTTAGTACTTCGTCGTCCAGTCTCACCCTAATGAACAATCAATCGTATTATCTTTCACCTCCAGGAGACTATCGATCAAACTGGATTTTAAGACGGGCGCGACTTTAACTCAAATATTTACCAAAATAGAATAGTAATTAGTCGGCACATTCAAAAAGTTTTAAAGGGTTGAGAATGTCAATACGGCCAGGTGGGTTGACCGATGATGCTGTGGGAATCTGGACGTGTTAACATAACTTCGGCCATCTAACGGAGAGTAGTATGATCAAGTTGAGGGTGGATTTTATTATAATCGAGGCACAGGAAACCGACGTTTAAAAGTTAAGCGGCGGTAAAGCGACAATTTAGCAATACGCGTAATAAAAGTGCACGGTTCGGCGAGCACCCCCCGGACTTCGGTCACTGGACAGAACACCCTCTTAAAACGCACCTGATTGTCAATTTTAGACTGGCGATATAATAAAAATTAACGAGTCGCGTGCCAGAAATAAAATTAAAGGCGAGGGTCATCACACAGCACGCGCGTCTTCTTAAACATGTTAATGTGGTGAATCTTCTTTTAATAACCCCCTCGAAAGACACACGCGTCGTACCTGCCCGTCAACATTTTTTATAGGTTCAGAGGTCACCGCGAAGGGAAATTCTGAAGAGGGTTAATCGAGTTTAACCCTTCCGAGTTCGCACGGTTTAAACGTCTTGGTCAGTGCGGTCAATTGACTTGTTAAGTGGACACAAAACGCAGGTAAAGTTGGGCATTAACGGTTTTTAATTTGTCGCATTGTAGAAAACACTTCCTCGTCACAAACTGACCAATGCGTGCACGGCGACGGTCGCCACGAAAAAAAAGGCGTGGAAAAATCCGCTACCGGATAAGCATTCTAATTAAGACACTTTTTGAAAATTGGTCATTCAATTACAAGGTGTTGGCTGAACAACCCTCTGAAGGAGACTGAACAAGAAGACGTCGAAGAAAAAGTTGCGCAAGCGACGCTCGCAAAAATCATTATCATAACTTTTTCTTATTAGCAAGCAGACAATTCCCTTCCCTTTTACCACTAACCCACCCCCGCATCGTCGCGCAGTACTAATTAAAAACATTGATCACGTGTCTGCAGCACGCGATTTTTAAAACGTGCACATTTACTTCCAAGATTTTTTTGCGAGACTAATGGTCACCGACGAACAAAATTATTAATCAAAATGCTCACCCTTAGCAATCCGAACTGCTGGCATTTTAATTCTCATCTTGGAATAGTAAAATCTTCAACACTCGGTGATTTTAGTTTCTTTCTCGTATTCACATGGTTCGCAAAAAATCACAGAACTTCTAAACGGGGTGGTTTAATTTATATTAAATGTACATCACTGGAAATTAATTAAAAGTCCGCGTAAAGTCATTGTTTATGGTTAACGTGTGCTGATAGAACTCGGTTGTTAATTTTCTGGGATTGGCAGTTATTCGCAAGAAATATTTGTAGACATATACATATCGCGCTTGTAAGGACGTCCGGTCCAGGACGACCAGGGATGCTGAATAGCCAGTGGTCCAAGCGCGTGTGTGTCAGGCGGACAAACTCACTTGCGACAAGCGTCCGCCCGTATGTCGGCACACTTCGGCGCGAATCGGTGCGCTTCGGGAAGGCCACTCACTAGCCACCGGCCGTGCTCACCCCGTAGGAAGGGATGCTGCTGCGCACATCAACTACCCCGAACGGGGGATGCTGCTGTCCAGCGCGAAACACTCGCGAAGTGTATTTAAATTACTTTCAATTAGAATAATTTCTTCACTCTTCTACACCTAATTGTTTATCATCTGGGCTGGCACATTTCCTTATCATTTAATTACGAGATATTCATCACGCATAATCCATGTAAATCCTTACACCACCTACTTCCGGTACGTCAGGAATTGGTCATACCACGCCAATTACTTTGCTTAATTAAAACCCAAAGTAATCGATTATTGAGTGAAAGAAAGGGAAGTTAAAAAAGTCCTTAATTAACTTTCTCGACTTTTTCGGTACAAACGCCGGTTGCGCGAAGGATACACATACGTGTCGCTTTTCGCCGCGGTAAGGCAGCACTTGTAAGCGTCGCGACGTCCCCAAGTTTACACGTCTGCGTCTCGAACGTAAAATCCGCTCGCCTACATTATTACACAAGTCTCGCTATGTTAATTTATTGCGACTTTAAACGATATTACTACACGTACAGAATTGAAAACTAGTCTTCGGCCCGAGGCCAAACGGGACTCACCGCCACAGAAATCAGGTCAAAGGTTACACACTATGTGAGGGCACATTACATTTTCTATCCATTTTGAAATACTGTGTGAAAACATGTGGACAGTTCGATTATTGTGTAATTCTGTTACTTAAGACGTTTGGAAATTCAAAAAGGTTTTTTTCCTAATTGAACTGAACAGGTATTAGACAATAATCGTTAATTGAACTGTAATTTATTACTGTCATCGGTAACACTAAAAGTGGAATTAAACATTTTGCAGGCCTGTAATGTATGCAAACGTGTAATTTACTGATATTATCTGGGAAAAAGGCGAAGATTTAATTATGTGTTTGTCAGTTTAATGAATTGTCGAAAGTAATCAACACCGAAAATGTTTTGCCGTTCACTTGCTAGTTGATAACTGAAAGAAGTTGCGTCACGGCACAATGTGAGCATTTTTGAGAAAATGTAAGATAGGTGAAGACGGCCTGGGCATCTGCGATTCATAACGCATAATTAGAGCGTTTCGCGCACGGTTAAATTAAAATGTTCGTCAAACTTATTTCAAAAATGATGCCGCTCTGCTTATTTCTGGAGGTATGTCAGTATGTGCCTTTCAGCGCTGTCGGATTGAAATTTTGGGTCTTGATAGCGAATGGGCTAGTATAAAAACCATCCTCCCTCGCATTATCTCGGTCATCTCACGCAGTCACCGAGTTTTTTTCTTGCGCAGAAATTAAGCGCTAATGTTGCCACGAGACGAGCTTTCAAAAGTCTCGATTTTGATATCTCCAGACGCGACCAAGTAAAAGTCTGGTCTCGTCTCGTTTGGTCTCTCTTGGTCTCGACTTATCCAGAAATGGTGTAGGGCATATAAACGGCACCGCGAAGGAATGACAATTAAATAATAATTGTCCTGTCCTTATCTATGTGCCAATCACGAAACATAATTTCTTCTATTATGCGTATTTTAAGGGTTTTCATAAAATGTAACTGGTAATATAACAAGGAAAGATGATACAATGAATTCTTATACTTAAAGATAATTTGACCAAGTTACTTTGTTTAAGCAGTCAATAATATTTATGTATACCTACCTACAAACGAATGAATTTATTGTCATAAACTCGTGAAAACACATATAAAAGAATCGACGAGAACCTATTAAAACCAGGGACCCGGACCCAAATGAAATATCGGTTCCGAAAATATTTATAACGGTTCCGGTCCGGTTTCGGTTCTAAAAAGATGTAACGGTTCGGTTCTGCGCATTTTTAGCGCATTTTTGCAAAAAATTTTTTTGTAAAAAGTAGCTTTTAATCTCACTTTGGCTGGCTGGCTGGCTGGTCGGCTGGCTGGCTGGCTGGCTGGCTGGCTGGCAGTAAATGCGCGCCCGTAGAAAAACGCTTGTACATGTAACTATCGGGGCTGAGTAATTAAAACGTTAGGGATGGGGCTACAAGATTTGGAGTCGACGACATCTGGACGCCATCCCCGAGCGTATTATACTAACCTGGAGATTTTTCAGTTTTTATCTATCTTCTTCTACAGTTTTTCTCCGATTATTTTCAAATTGGTGTCGTCGGGAAGATCTTGTCAACGCGCACAACTCCTGCGTGGCGGAATTTTGTTTTTTTTCCTAGGGGCGAAATAAAACACCTTTTGCGCGGCGCGCTTCGAGGGGTAGTCGACTTTGGGCGCCCAAAAGTTTCTTACAGCGCGAATCGCGGTCTCTCTTTCTCGTGTCACTAATAGAAGGTCGAGCTATGTGAAGTACCCAAAAGTTGAATACGATTTTATGCCGGGATTTTAGCGAAATCTACCAAAATGTGAATTACGAATGAACGGGACGTCGGAACTGTGTATCGACAAAGGGAATGTGGTAACCCCCGACGAGATCTTACTGATGGTGGAGTCGAAACTTCAAATCTGAATTGTTGCGGGTGATCAGAAGTGGGCGTCGACAAAAGGAAAATGGTAACCCCCAAAGGATTTTACTGATGGTGGAGTCAAAACTTCAAACGCGAATTGCGAGTGCACGGTAAGTGAGAAAATGGTACCGACAAAGTGAACGTGGTAGCTTTCGGCAAGATCTTATTGATGGTGGAGTCAATATTGGCTAATAAAACACTGATCTGCCACACAAAAATGCGCTGAAGTCCCTTCGATCTCACACGAGGACTTTGATCATTTTTTTTGGTCCATAACGGTTATTTGCGGTTCTAGTCTTTTAGAAAGTATGGCAAAAAATTTATTATAACAACGTGGTTTGTTAATTAATAGGTGTGAAAAAGAAGTCATGAATACCAAAACGTAACGTATCGTCAGTGTAGTTAATTTATAACGACAAGGGGAATAAGGGAGGAAGAGGGAAATATGTATTTAAACTTAATTTATTACTAAAAAAAAGAAAAAATACACAAAAAGTAAGAAAAATACGTATTGTTTTTTATTTTTATTTTCTAAAACCTCGCCCCTCCTTTTATTATTTATATTTACATTAGTTGCTAAATTAGCGCCACCCGTAATACCTTAAATTTCGACACCTTTTTTATATTTATAATTTAATAATAATTTATAATCCATCGATGGCAATCATTGAGTAATATTTTATCAATTTTCAGAACAAAAGAAAGCTGTTGAAGGCTTCTTAGAATTAAGAAAAGTTATAGTTATTGTATTGAATCAGTAAGGTCGGCGACGGTTTATATAAACAATTGGAATACGTGCCACTTGAATGGATTTTCCTGATTAAAATTTAAAAAAAAACCAGTACACATAAACACACAAAAATTCGAGATCAAGCGAGAGTTTCCGCGAGACTCTCGTCGTGACTCACGGGTAGTCTGGTCTCGCCGAGAATAACCTCGGTACTCCCTCAAAAATTTGAGACGAGATAAAATTTTATTACAACGACGTATAACAGCGGATAATTAGGTTGATTAGCGCTTAATTTCTGCATAAGAAAAAATCATTTATTACAAATGTCTGATGTGGGTCGAGTCAACCTAATTTTTGAAATAACGTATGTCTATAAAAACGCAAAATTCCATTTAAACGGCGCAATGCAGCGCTTAATTTGCATAATTATAGCTATAGGTACATTCGATGGTACATTTGATTAAATCAAATTAATCGCAAATATCAAGGCTAGATTCACGTCACCCAAAAATGAATCTATTATGAATACAGCGATGAGCAAAAATGTAACTTGGAAAATTTGTTGCTAAAAAAATTCTAACAAACCCTGACTAGTCAGCAACAATATACTAGGTTTTATTACCCACATAGATTTTCGTGATCCATCCAAAGAAAATATTATCATGGTCATTTAACTTCCGGTTTCTCAGATGTAGATAGCAACTTTCTTATAAATAGAACACCCTTTATTATATCGCATTTTCGAAATATACATGAAAATCTACGTCGTTTGATACCACATTTCCCTATACCCAGCATTAAAGGTTTTCAAGTTATTCAAGATTTTTTTAAATTCTTACAGTGTACCTATGATTCCGTCGACGTCGATTTAAATTTTGATCGTCCTTCTACAGGGTGTTTAAAAACTAATTGTCAATTTTAATAACTCCAAACCTGGAAGGTACTTCACGAAGAGTTCAAAGATTCTTTATTTTCTTTCTTCAGCAACCATAAGGCATGAAGTGATGGAATGACAATATCTACTAGGTCTTTGAAACACTTGTCTTATTTAAAAAAAATGTGTTGTTGTGGACCCTTCTACCTCAGTTTTAAGCGCATTTTTGTAAATTTATTTGTAAAAAGGTAGCTTTTAATCTCACTTTGGCCGGCTGGATGGCTCACAGCAAATGTGGGCCCGTAGAAAAACGCCTGTAGAAAGACGAGCAGTATACATGTACCTACCGGGGCCGTGTAATGACCAACTTTAGGGACGGGTCTACATGATGTGTGGTCGATGACATCTGGGCGCCATCACTGAGTGTGTTATATTGGCATGCTGATTTGTCAATTGTTCCTTCGTTTACAGTTTAGGTTCGGTTGTGTGTCGTCAGAAAGATCTTGTAAACGCGCACACCTCCGACGGACGGAATTTTGATTTTTTTTTTCATTGGCGTGGGAGCCAAGAGATCTCAGGTCGCTCGAGATATGAGAAGTGCCGTAAAAATTGAGTACTATTTTATGGAGGATTTTTAAAGAAATCCACCAAAATGCGAATTGCCCGCTGACGCGACGTTGGAAGCGGGTACCGACAAAAGAAATGTAGTGGCAGCCCCCGACAAAATATTACTGATGGTGGACTCAAATCTTCAAACACGAATTGCGGGTGAACGGGACGTCGGAAATGGATACTGACAAAGGGAATATGCTAGTAGCCGAAAACATCTTACTGATGGTGGAGTCGAAACACAAGGATCATTTTTTAGTGGGGTGGTGGCGGGGGAGGGTGGGGGGGAGTGGAACTAGTTTTATCATTCAAGGTACTCTAATGAAAGGTATCTACGAAAGGAATTAATTTCTACCGACCATACTGCCGTGTTAACTAGAAAGGGCGTATCAGCAATTTTAGCATAAATCGACTTCGACGTATGTACATGTTGGCAAACCAGTACCCTATACTGTTTTGTTAAGACCGAAAGTCGTAATCTCTCACTGTATGATCGTACTGAGCTTAAAAAGAAAGGGCGTATCTACAAAATCGATTAGTGTGTTAATAAGAATAGACGTATCTCTTTGTATTAAGCTATTTGGACGTATCTACATAGTTTGTTAAACTAGACGGGCGTAACTGTATTGCTCTCGAACAGATACGCCTGTCTTTCTTAACATGCGCAGCTTTGCTATTTGAGGTTAAGTCATTCTAATTTTCGTGTAGCATTTAATTTGCGTTTCTAGTAAATGTGAGTGTTTTAAAATGAACCGGTGCCAGAAACTAGTATATTTAGCCCTTAATAAGCAACAAAGAAATAAAATAGATGAACTGAAGGTGACCAAATCAGAGCAGATTAAGCGTAATATTGAAGACCCCGATTTTACACCGAATTCTGATGACGAAAGCAGTATCAGTGGAAGTGATTCCGAAAAATTAGCTTCAGCGTCAACTAATAATGATACGGTTTGCTTGAAATCCAGCACTTCCCGTACTGATGCTAAGATCAATATCCTCAGCAACGTACAACTAGTTGGACCAGATCTAGTGGAACCTAGCACCAGCGAGCTGATTCCAAATTCTAATAGCGATGAACTTGTTGTGGGTCAAGTTATTGAAAAACTTTTGACCGATGTTGAAAAACTCGTAGACCTTTCACTTTGGACTAAAGATGGGAGACCCAGAAAACGCAGAAGATTTTCGAAATCTGTAGAAGAAAGAAAACGCTTGAATAAGAATCGAATTGCCGATGCGCATAAAATAATTAATAGTTGTGGAAATGATTGCGTTAAAAAATGCCAAAAAACATTTTCTTATTCTCATCGCACCTTAATTAATAATGAATTTTGGAATATGAACCACAACGAACAAAAAACTTTCATATTCCATAATGTTTCGCGATCACCTACCAAAAGAACAACAGTACATTCGGCAACTTCATCTCGACGCTCAAATACATTGCAGTATGCCTTCAAAAATGAAAGTGGTCGTAGGGTGGCAGTGTGTAAAACATTCTTTCTTACAACCCTTGGTTTTAAAAAATCTAACGATAAAATGGTGAGAACAGTGTTCGGCAACTTTAATGAAACTGTCATTACTCCTAAACGTGATGGCCGTGGCAAGAATCCAAAAAAGAAGTTTGATAGAGACGTAATCATTAAACATATTGAATCTTTTAACCCAACAATCGCGCATTATCGCCGTGAGCATGCTCCATTGCGTAAGTACTTGCCCAGTGACATAACAATTAAATCTATGTATGATGATTTTATTGAAAAACATCCATCTATAACTTTTTCTTATTATCTTTATCGAGAAGTCGTGGATAGTCTGAACATATCGTTCACTAAACTTGGACACGAAGAATGTTTCACGTGTGAAGTATTTATGCATCATTCAAAAGCGAGTGGACACAAAAAAGAAGATATTTCTGTAACTTGCAAAGACTGTGAAGCGTGGAACACTCACCATACGAACTATACAGCGGCAAGAATGCAATACCAAAAAGACTGCAAAGAAAACGATGTCGTCGTTACAGTTGACTTACAAAAGGTAGAGCTGTAAATTATTGCTTTTTGTGATTTTATTAAATCTTTCCCATTTCCAGGTTATCATGTTGCCGCGATGTGACACTTTTAAAGAAGTGATTTTTGTACCCCGACTTGTGGCGTACAACGAAAGTTTTATCTCAGCTGGACCGAAATCGAAAGTGGGCCACTTTGCTGCAGTATGGCATGAAGCTATTCAAGGAAGAAATAAAGAAGACATAGTTAGCTCATTTTACAAATACTTTCTGCACATGCGAGACGCAAAACATGTAATACTATGGCTTGATAACTGCACCGCACAGAACAAGAATTGGTGTCTGTATAGTTTCTTTATATACATTGTTAACTGCGCCGAAGTTGCTGTACAAAAGTTGGAAGTCAAGTACTTCGAATCAGGCCATACTTTTATGGCAGCCGATTCGTTTCACCACGCAGTCGAGAACTCTTTGAGAAAAGCAGGAAAAGTCTACGATTTTAATGATTACGTCACAGCTGTTAAAAATGCATGTAAAGGAGTTTATGTTGAGGAAATGGATGAAAATTCATTTTTTCTGTGGGAGGATCACACATCTCAATACAAACTCAATAAGATAACACCACGACCATATTTAAACGAAATGTCTCATGTAGTTTTTCGAAGAGGCGATCGAACACTCTCATATTCACGTTTTTTTGAAGGAGAGTTCATAAATTTGAATTTTTTGAACCACAAATCCTTTAAAACAGGAATTTCTTTACCTCTACTAAAAGGAGAACCAAGAGGCATATCAAAAATAAGAAAGCAGACTATAATATCTAAACTTGGAGCAATATTTCCTAAAACGAGGTTGGTGTTTTGGGAAAATTTGCCAATCGAAAAAGAACATTCTTCCAAGAACCAAGATGTTGACACTGATTAAGCTTATTTTGTTAAAATGTTATTCTTATGTACTTAATATGCAAATTAATAACACCTGAATAAATTTTTTGAAACTCTTGGAAACAATTTATTTGGCGTAACTACAGAATTTGCTATAACATCTTTAAAGAGAATAGGCGTAAGTATCAGAAGCCATATTCAGGAATGATATATCTGGTACAACATTATAGGAACTGACAGTAGAATATATATGTGTATGATTGACATCATCAACTCCTGCGCAGTTTGAAATACTGCGATGGCATGGAGCCAAATCTTAATACCTCGTTTTCTCACTTTAGTGAAAAACGCAGATACGCCCCTTCTAATTAACAGGGCAGCATAGCCCTCCTCCTTGACCTCTTATAGTGATCGAGTATATTCCCTTATACCTCAAGAACGGATTGTCGGAATAGGGTACTCACAAAGGGCGATTGAGACGTCTGCAAGAAATATGTGCATTGGTGATGTCAAAACAAAAGCTATTTCGGTTAAAAAAAATTCACTTTATCTGCACAAGAGTTGTGCACAATTTATACTTTTTTGAAACTTAAGTAAGTATGAATATTTACTTAAGTGCGTTATATCCTGTATCATCAACAAAAGTTGTAAAAGTTTCACATTTTGCGGCTTGCGGCTAGTAGTTAGTAGTGAGTATGATCTTGGTAACGGATTTTCCCCATTTTCAGCGCATTTCAAATAAATTTTGACTAAATTGATCTAAGGTATATCTATATAAACAATTGTCCGCTTCATTATACATGTCCAAGAGATGTCGGGCTTTATTGACGAGCTCCTAGCGGGTTTATAATATTGCGGTGTCTGTCCGTTAGCACCATATCTCGAAAACGAATAGAGCGATTACCATGAAATTTTTGTAAGTGATTCTCTATCAAATTTGTAGATCGGAGTTCGTGAATTGGCAATGTAGCCCAAAAAATAAGGAAGGCCCTTTTGACATCTCCATTAGTTATGAACCGAATTGCATGAAATTCAAATAAGCATAGTGTTAGCCATATAATACGCAATCTCGCATCTCGACCATTTACGAACAGAATTGCAAACTTTCTTATTTATGAAAGCATTTAAATGAAATTTTTTACATAGTGATGAAATTATCGGACTTTTTTTAACGAAAAATCGTATGGAAAGTGGTACTTTTTTTCACGATTTTTACTATGCGTTTCCATGGAGTTTAGTCCTGTCTATGAACAATATAGCATCCACTTTTGGTTGACAGTAAATCGCGAATGCCAATCAAATTATTCAATTGTGGGTTATTATGGATCACTATGCAACAAAATTTCGTGTACAACACGTGTTGAAAGTGTCTTTTTTCCATGAATTTGCTTGATCAACTCGGGCTTCGCCCTCATTAATCAAACTGCAAATTCATGAAAAAAAGTATCACTTTCAAAACTAGTTGCACAAATAACTATTGATACATAGACACTTGGAATAAAAGCAAATATAATGCCAATTTCAAAATTTGGTTCTGCACATACCCATGAGCTCATTTACTATATTTGTTTACACGTTTATTTTTAAGTACACAAAAATGACAAAACGAACTTCTTCGGTGCCCAAGACCGGAATTTGATGAATTTTTGATTGCGTGTTTTTTGACCTAGACGTGCCAAAATCGTTATATTTCTTTAAAAAAACGTGAAAACTCTTGATGCGCAAGAATTCCATTTTTATTGACCATGTCTGTTTGGATGAATATGTGTCAAAAACGTTAATTTTTACTGATTTAACTGAGAAAACTTTGAAACTATCTTAATGTCAAGAAATGAAATGTTTAGAATGATCGCAATTCGCTTACGTAAATCGTTTAAAATTACACTTTTCACTTGTTAGTATTAGACTCGTGCTTGCAACTGTTTTTGCGTAGCAGGCTCTAAAAGTCTAAACGATAAGGGCTTTTAAAGACCTCAAATACAAACAGAAACCCCAAAAATAAACATTCGAATGGTTTTAAATGCATTCAAGGTACATTAAGCATAGTTTCTTAGGAACGATTAATGTTCGCAAACGGCTTATGAACCTCCTGGAAGAGACTTAAAAATTTAAATAAGTTTAAAGTATCAAACTATTTTTAAAGGCCCTCTAAAATAATTACGGAAACCAATAAAAAGTTGATAGTTTACGAGATATTAAGGAAAAACCAAAAAAAAAGGAACCTAACATTAAACCATTGAGTAATTAAATTCACTCAACGATTAAACGCAGGCTCCTCACACTCGTTTTAAGGTATACAAAAAACTCTTTCGTTCGTGTGATGTTCAGAATCAGAAGACCGTTTACTGCGCTTTAGAGATTCTTTCCATCTTCCCTTTGTAAGTACTCTCTTCCGACACGTCGTTTTCAAGATTATAAATCAATGCAAAATGTACGTGGTTTTCCTAAGAAATTCACAATTTGGACATTATTCCACAACGTGTATACGTATTCCGAACGAAATCGGTTTATTTTGACAGATCTTGGTCAAACGACTTTGGCACCTCTTGGTTACATTTTTAAGAGCAACCCCTGACAGTGTAAACTTTCATGTGAACCTATGTAGCAGCCGAAGAACATGCTCTATGATCAAGACAAACAGGTAGCATGGACAAAACGTACAGCAAAAAATATCACCTGTCATCATATTGCTCCATGCAACTATAAAAGAGGTAACGTACTCTTCGTAAAGTCTAGGTAGAAGATGAGAATTTGGGTCGTTTAATTAATACCGATGCCAATTTGTCATACTTCCGTAATTACAAAATTACACACCTATCCATTTTGGGGCTAACGTCAGGAGAATGATAAATGAATTAAGAAGGTCATAAGTCACAGCTATCAATCGAATACGAACGTGTAATGACGAGTTGTATGACATTAATAAGTGTTGTGTTTTTTTATGCAGGAGAAACATGAATATGAGTACGTATTATCTATTAAACATGACCCACCGCAATTAATTATATTCAAATCTACCGTTAAACGTGAAGTAAATAATTAAAGACGAAGAAAAAATTATCGGAACTGTATATGTGGCTGGCTGTGGCATTTCCCACTTGATGAAATACGTATAGGTGGTACACCAATTCTACTGACACAAGAAAGTGGTAACTGTACCTTCAGAAATCAACAGATAAATTTAAAATACATACATTCCTAATATGTATATTTTATTCATAAACTCGACTCGGTAAGCGATGATAATATAGACGCCCATAACCGTGTTCTATTAGCAACACAATGAAAATTCCATTAGTTGGATTAGTAAAAGTTATTGCTGTAATAAAATAAAATGAAGTGTAAGAATTCTCCAACATAAACGATAATCGTAGCAAACCGCATTATTTAAGTATGTTGTAAATTCGTAACAAAATTGTTTTTATTTTTGATGTTTGTATAACCGGCCTTTCATTAAAACAAAATCTCTACGTATATTTTACAATTAAACTAAGCCATACATTTTTTGTCACGATTCTTATTTTGTTTACTAATTCCCTGTATAGTTTCTCGGAATAATACATTTTCCTTTATTATAATAATATAATATTATATCAAAGGTACAACTTGCTGTGAAATAAACTACAGAAGTACATTGATGCTGGAAGAACAAAACTAAACAATCAGGAAAACAAAAGTTGTAGATCAAGGACTTCACATACGAATGAAAACTGCACAATTATGTCCACAAAATCAGAAGAGCTTTCGTAAAATGTAGGCCCATTGGATACCAAAAATGCTCTCGGACGGCCGAAAGCCCCAAAGGAATTATGGAGCATCTCACCCGATATCAACAGGAAATGTTTCATCTAAAGCATCGTTACAGGAGATGAATTCACTCAGGTTATCAATCAAAATTCAAAACTTTACTAATCTCTTAAAATAGTGCGAATAGCCATTACATTCAAAGTATCAGGATGATTTAGTAAGATTTATTCGGTTGTCTAAAGAACGTTTCGCAGATGAAAAAGAATTGCAAACTATCGTTATCAATAAACAAATTGGATACACATAGTACTACCGCAACTGAATGTTTAAACTAATATCACGGTAAGACAACTGTCTCAATGTCAACCGTGATTATATTCAAAAATAGGTATATAATGTGGCAGCATTAAATATTTTGTCTTCATAAAAATGCTCCTGAATTTTTTCTTGTATCGGACTCCCTTGGTCAATTCTTTCGAATATTTCAGTATTTATGGACCCCTTTAAAAAGAGTGATCAGGTATTCGTATATTTTCCCCTGACGTAAATGATTTCCTTGACAACGCAAAAAAATTAAAATGGAAAAGTTTGTGTTTGCTTGAGATAACATCTTCTATGTACCTACTTAAGGCAATAGAACAGTGCAAAAGTCTCTTCAAGGTCTCAATCTCATTGTTATCTTGTGTTTGGGGACGGTTTATACTTCAAAATATTTAAAATGTACCTTTATATCTTATCTGGTTTATCCTATATTTTTGTTCATTTTATTGTCCCATAATAAATTAATTGTATTGACAATACTAAGGAAACTACCTCGGCCTTTTGAAATAGATCACAACTACAAATCATAAACATGAAGTACATAATTTCTATTGTCAATTGTGCATTACATTTTTCCATATCTTTAAACAATACCCAAGACACCCACGTGTCACCCTTTAGAATGTTGTCGGTTTGGAACCTTTCAATCGTACGTCTATTTAGTTATTTAGATTGCATACTTTACTTCTGAAATGATAACGACATTTAGTAGATCAAAGACGCCAAAGGAGTGACTGGAAAGATGAGGTCTGTGATCACATTAGCATTGAATACGGTGACGTCAGGAGGGCGAGTCAGGTCACCATTGTCCAAGAGTGCACGTTCCGGTAAAAGAAACTCACGAGTTTCGTGCTAGCTGTCAATAGATTAATATTGTAATGATTATGTAGAAGTCTAGGCCATAAATACAACACGATGTGGTCATTTAGTAAAAAAGTTACAAAGTAACAACCGACAGCTTTCATACATGAT